AAAAAAAAAAAAAAAAAAAAAAAAAAAGAGTTAAGAATCTTGCCAAAAGTGGTATGGCTAGTCAATAGAAAAAGTAAAACGTGGACTATTGACTTTCTCTGTAAAGCATGAAGCATAGTGCCTGGTATACAGAGAATGTTCAGTAAGAGTAGTTATAATAACAATGATAATTTTTTTTTTTTTCAGATCGAGTCTCATTCTGCCACCCAGGCTGGAGTGCAGTGGTGTGATTTTGTCTCACTGCAACCTCGACCTTCTGGGTTCAAGTGATTCTCCTGCCTCAGCCTCCTGAGTATCTGGGATCACAGGCATGGGCTACCAGGCCCCACTAATTTTTACAATTTTAGTAGAGACAGGGTTTCACCATGTTGGTCAGGCTGGTCTCGAACTCCTGACCTCAGGTGATCTGCCCTCCTTGGCTCCCCAAAGTGCTGAGATTACAGGCTTGAGCCACTACATCCAGCCAGTATTTTTTTTTTTTTTTTTACATTGAATCGGTGTTCTGTCTTCATGACATTTCAAACTTTTGTCCTCCAGTTTCTGGTTCCATAGGGGTGAAAATATGCTAATTTTAATTCAGTTTAACAAACATGGACTGAGCTAGGTACTGAAGACTCTGAGAGGACTCAGGAAAGGGACTCACGTCCCTCTCCTCTGGGAGTTCCCAGTCTAATGGGGGCATTGGACACTAGGCTAAAAAAGTTGATTGCTGATTGTGGTGAGAGACACATGCAACATGCCTGTGTGGGTAGGGCAGGATTAGTTTTGGTGGGAGATCTGTCCTGATCCTAATTGACAGAGTGGAACATATTCGCTTTCTGTAGCTATGTAATATGCCCTCCATGCGAGGCAGCCTGGCTACCCTGACTCTTCTTGGCAAGTTGGTGGATGCCATCCCTGCTCTGGCAGACCAGCTTGTAATGGAGCACGGTGAGTGATTTGTGGCAGGAGCTGCCACTGCCCTTTTACCTGCTTTTATCATACTGCCATCTGGGTGGCCCATTCATTCTGTATACCTGGGATGACATTACTTTCCTACTCTAGCCTTCAGTTTCCCCATTTGCAAAATGTGCTGTATATTGGTCAGTTTGAAAAAGGTCAGATTTCTGACTCTATTCTTGGACTATTACCATTCATTCTTTAACACAAATTAATTAAGTACCTACTATGAACCTTCCTTTTGGATGGAAGGAGGAATTCTGGAATATAGGAGCACTTTTTTCTATCAGTGAAATGCAAATAAATATCTCACAGTGGATTTATCAAAGGGCAAATAAACTTCTTTAAGTTGGTTTCCCTTTTTTGGGCCGGGCGCGGTGGCTCAAGCCTGTAATCCCAGCACTTTGGGAGGCCGAGGCG